GTGTAAAGAACATGTAAAGAACAACTTAGACTTGTTTCAATCCTACAATATCCACAATACATGTATCTTTTATTTTAACTTCAAGGGTTTATTCAAGTGACATGACTTGTTTTAAAACTTTTCGGTGATTTTATTGGCGTCTAAATTTTAATCAATGAAAAAGATATATTTACGCTTCAAACCCAAAATATGTAGAATTTAAACAGAAATTCATGCTGGAACTTTAAGAAATGTTATTTTAGCATGATTTGAGTACATAAGATCATTTTGATAGTTTTGTCATTATTTTGCCTGAATATCCCTTTAATACATATATCTGGTTTTCAATCATTTTCAACAAAAAGAGTTATAAACAAAAACATACATTTTTCGTCCCAAGATGGCGGCGATTGTTTACATTTTTGTAGGATACGACGCAGTTTTGATTCCCAGCCCTGGGAACGAGATAGCGATTTTTTCTGGGCCACGAGTAATTTATATACATAGTAGATATACATAGAAGATATATCTAGTTTTTATAAAGACGTTTTGGCGGTAGATTTTTATTGATTTGATAAGTGTTTGAGTTATTAATAAAAGTTTATCAAATTCACGGCGTATGGTCGGTCACAACGGGTAGTAGATCAAAATAAAATTTTGCCATCGAGTGCCTATATGATTTTCCAGAGAAATAGATAATGTTATATATATGTTATTTTCACATAATCCTTATGTCCATCGACACAGAAGTTATTATTCTCCACGATGATGGTCAATTTTAAACTTCAACATCAATATAAACAACGCAACAGGTAAAATAAACATCAAGATTATCGCGGTTTTACCCCATTTACAAAATCTTTCCACAAATACACGATTGTCGTATTCAAATGCGCCGCGAACCACATGGCTATATAATCGGAGCCATTCGGTAATATGTTGGTTCGCATATTCAAAGCGCGGCGCATTTGAATACGGCAAAGCTGGGAAGCTAATAAATATACATTTTATTTGGATTTTAAAGGCGTTTTGAGGTCCACAACCCAATTGCTGTGGTTTGGATGAAGTTGTTGGGCAGATAACTTTTCCATCGATATATATAATGTGGCTCTTTCTTTCAGTTAACATATTACAGGTACCGATATATAAATAGCAAATAAAAATGGCGTTATGTAATTCAGCATTTTTGCCTCATGTAGCTTCAAAAATCGGACGAAAATTATTAGAAGCCGAAATAGGGTGGTGACTAAATTATTTATTTGTTTATGTCAATAAACAACAAAACCAGTGAATATTTTATTTTATTCTCTATATTTATTGTCGTTTACGTGTATGGCTCGCTTGATTGTTTGGATCTTGTCAATGCGCCGGAACCGGTAAAAAGACTGTAGTTATACACACATTGCCATGGTAAATTTTACAAAAGCTCTCGCCTAAAATCAGTTTGACCTCATGTACAATTTACAGGGAAAGAACTGAATATCAGTAGAATTTTCATTGATCATTTCAAAATTATGAACTGAAATCTAACAATAATCGATCAATATAGAAGGTCTTTTGAAACTGGTGACCGTTGAAGACGATAAACAATTTTTTTCTTTTAAAGAAAATTTAATGATTAGGCCTAACATTTTATGAATAATTCCGAGCCAAAAAAAAAATAAAATAAAGTAAACACACAAGTTTACGCAGAAAATATCTCTATTTATTATGGCCACTACGAATATTTAAATTTTGTAGATTTTCAGTATTTGAGATAGATTTTAACATTGGAGACCGCAGGGTATTGGTACGCGTTTAACTTTTGAGGCATGGAGGAGCACGTGACCTGTTTTCGGTACATGGAGGAGCATGTGATCTGTAAACAGTACATGATTGGTTAATTGACCTTTCCGAAAACCTAGCTAAATACCGTTTGCCGTTACGTTACGGATTTACCTGTAGGAAATTTGTCAGAAACTTATTAAGAACAAAAAACTATTACGTGATATTTCTAATTTTCTATAATTATTTTACCGTTTAAGGTGGAAAAACTTGAATGATGTGTTTGAAGATTATCAATGTTTCTTTAATATCTATCTCAAATTGTACAAACAATAAATTGTTTATACTTAACATTAATAAAATCAAAATATTCGTAGGGGCATCTGCCATAATAAATAGAGATATTTTCTGCGTAAACTTGTGTGTTTACTTTATTTAATTTTTGCTCGGAATTATTCATAAAATGGCAGGCCTATTTAATCATTTTCTTAAAAAGAAATAATTGTTTTATGTTCGACCTTCTCCCGTCTTCAACGGTCACCAGTTTCCAAAGACCTTCTTCTATATTGATCGTTTATTCAATTGTCAACTATATTCCTGATACAAACGTTTATTTATTCCCACCCCCAAATAATGTTGAAAATAGTTAAATGAAATATCTTTATATCATTAAAATGTTCACCGCAGGAAACCATTTTACTTGTAAAGATTTTGACTGGCTATATAATATGGCCGTGTATAAATGGTTGTTTGGAAATATAGTATATAAATACAATTTCTTATTAAATAAACGGCAGCCATGTATACAAATATAGACTTTTTAGCTGGTGAATATAATGTGATATGTACTGAAAGAAATTAATACTGACCGAGGCGATAGCATAAACATTACATAAACATTCCAAGCGAAAAAAAACTAAGGGGTCACCGATCTCATTTTCGATCTGTATGTGAATTTGATTTTTTTCTTATTTCTGGTTATTTCATGGGCAGATTACTTAAATATACGTCTGAAAAATTCTTTTTTCCACATTTTATATTCTTCACTGTATGTGTGTTCATTTTCAAAGAATGACTTAATTCCATAAATTATTTCTGTTACCTTTTTTTTTATTTCATTTCATACTAAAAATTCTTTAAAAATATGCCATATTTGAAACCATTTTTCTTCGATAAATATCACAATTTAAGAAAAAAAAAAAAAAAAAAAACAAACTAAAGCTATATTACACGCAGGTCTTTACAAAAAGTAATAGAGCACACTTTTCCTGAAATAACTCTTACTTTCGCTGTAAAAATAAAATTGATTTAAATTGGTGTTCTCAGTATATGATAATACAGTGACATTCAAAGCTGCGATTAATTTGCGTATTCAAGAAACATGTTCTGTTTATCTTTACGAGTTTCTCTTCTATATGTCTGTATGACAAAAACATTGTAAACCTGGAACTTACGGTCTTTTTAAGTCCAAAGTTTAACGTGGATTATTCTATAATGATTATGGCTAAAGGAATTTTCAATGGAAGAAAAATGGACGCGGAACTCGGACATGTATTTGTACGAGCGTAAATATAATAATATCGTTTTAAACATCAAATAAACACGTTTCTTTGATGTTAAAGTAAGAAAAAGGTTATACCCAATTGAAATGTGCGTTACATCAAGTTAAACCCTCAAAATATACATAAATGGTATCGTGCCCACCGCACTGTGTTGCAATCGAATCCACCGCCATCTACGTTGAAAACATTTTTTGTCATTTATTTTATGAACAGGCAATCATAATTTCCCAAATTTCCAAATAAGGGAAAGAATCAGTGAAAGAATCAGTCATACGATGTGATACAGTTGTATTATAGGGTCGTTTTGCACACATTTGTATGTGTTTTAACCAAAATTAGGCAAAAGTGTACAGAAGTGTTTACATAAACGGCAATGAATTGCACCGTGTGAATGTAATTAGTTGAAAGAGTACATATGTGGGCTCCAGTCTCAGTAAGTGCTTCCAGATAAAACAAAATTCAGTCATATACTTACCGACAACAGCAATTATAAACGGCCATATTTTATCCACCGCTTCTGCGACGAATACTTCACCGTCGCTGCGATGGATCCACCGCTTTCGTGAAAGCTATGTCCAGTGTGATAATGCTACCCGTTTATGATCTGACGATCAGCAACCATCTCAGCCTATCATTTGTTTGAAAGCGATGCGGTTTCTAATTTTAACCGCTGGAAAATCAAGTAGGTAATTTTCACGATTTCAAGGACAAACATGGCGTTGTCCATATAGCCGGCAAATAATCTGGCGATACAATCTTGCCCATTAAATTAATTCCAGTTTACTTGTTTAAAATAACTTAAAACAATCGTTTTCTTATAAAAATCAACATTTTTTTTCTTCCACGAGCAACGAAATTTTGATATCTCGTCTAATGCTAATGCCTATCTGTAAAAACTCGTTTGATTGCATGGCTAAAATAAAGCTATTCCAGGGAAATCCGAATCTTAATGAAAGCGAAACATGAAAATGGCAGTGCATGGACCTAAAATGAACAAATTTGTAGTTCAGTGTGGCCAGAAACACAATTCCAAATATTTCAGCTTCAAACATTTTAACCGAGGATTTTTGGTGCCAATGGATTTATAACCTATTTTTGACTTCTAGATACCCTCGAGATCCCGAGTCATTTTTTGGTCTGCGGCTTATTCTAAAGGAATGTTGGTGCCAATTCTTTTACCCTTCTAATAATACTACTTTTAGCATCTTTGATGGTCGTCTACTGAAGGGATGTTTATCATGCTCCTAGGAGAAAACTGGCTTTACCAAGGGTTCATTTAGTATACATATATTTAACATATGAAATCTTATTTAAATCTCCTCTGAAAATTTATGTCGAAGAGCTTATATGTTTTGTATAAAGCATTCCCTATAGTTGACCTCTACAAAAGTCATGTCCCATAATATGAGGTAAAAATGGTCTCGCCCAAACTGGAGTATCACTTATTTCTGCATTGAAGGATTGTTACCATTTCTAGCAAAAATCTGAAGTGAGCGATCATGGCCATCATGACCATTTTTATTATAATTACCAAAGTCTTTATCCCCCTCGAAGGATCGCAAACCGATGTGTCATTCTCATATACATTCAGATTCTTTCAGTGTTAAACATGTATCATAAAAATTATGTTGTGTCCTTTCAATCAAATGAATAATTTCATAATGGATTCACAAATTGTTATCTTATCTTTTTCAGTGAATGGGGGCTGGTGCTATAGTAGGCAATGCAAAACAAACTGGTGTGCTGGTGGTAACTACATCTGTGGTGAGACTTGTGACAACGTCCGGGGAACATGTGACTGTCCGACACCCTTATTTGGCGGTTCACCTTGTTCATAATTCTACCAATGCATGAAGCTTCTGGTTTTAAAATAACATCATTTCTGGACATTCGTATGCAAAGAAATCAAATTATTTCCTTTGATTTTTATCTTTCCTTTGTTTTTTATCTTTCCTAGTATACTAGCATGTTTATGCTGTTGCTTACAAAGCAACAACTTCCATATTCAACATCACTCTGGCTAAAGTCTAAGACAAAAGGAATCTTTAACTTAGCCATAACCAGTGTTTTCATCCATGCTTTGGCCGAATATCAAAGGGGTCATATGATGCGCGCGCGTCCTCAAAATTCTGATACCGCGAACACTTTTTCAACCGGTATTTTGAACACAAACGTGTCATGTAAAACAAATGTAAAACAATCAGAATAGATTTGAATTTAATTTCTTTTGCAAAGAAGGTGTCCTTACTTCTTGTTTTAATATTCCAAATGCATTGATTGTACAAGTCTTCCCTTTCTTGTCAGTATTTTGCGTTGAATGCGATTTTGATTCTGGATATTGCGTACACCCGGCGTTGAAATGTTACAGAAATTGAGAAATTGTTTTGATTAAACTGAAAGTATCAGACAACTGGATACTAGTTTATTAAAGGTCCTATTTCATAAATATATTTTCAATCTTTGTTCTTTTACCTTTCTACGAAAAATGGCTAAAAACGAACTATTTATAAGAAATAGAAATTATGATACTGCGTACACTCTCAAAAAATCAAGATACTGCGTACACAGTTACGTGTAATTGATTCTGCCTACACTCTTCGCAGCAGTCTAAGTTCATAATCAGCGGTACGATATTTCTTTAAGCGAGGTGAAATCATGCGATACGGAGTATTGGCGGGTTAATTAGTGTAAACATACGTCGGAGTGAGTGTATTTTATTAATTATTTCATAAATTTTCTATAACAATTGCAAATTTTGCATTGAAGATGTGAATATAGGACCGACACATATTTCATCAAAATTACAGAGGCTTAAATTCATAATTAAAAAAGTTATAGAAGGTAAACTGACGGCAACTGATTTTGTTTCGGTGAATAAAATCGCTTAAAGCAAGCATATATTTATATAATTTAAAGTTAATTTCTTTTTCTTCTTTATTCTATAAGGGTAATCATAACTGAGTTGCATAGCAAGTACCTTTGTGCTCCGATTTACATAGACGCTTACAGGTCAAAATATTTAAGTGTACGCTGGGTTTTGGTGCGATAAAAAACTGTACGCTGTTAAAGGTTCGATATTTATCATTATCACGTCTGTTGTATATGTTTTCCTATGATAATACTAAGAGAGCTACCATATATGTGGCCGTTTCCGGATTTCTGAAAAAAAGTTTTTATACCTTCTTCTTTTCTCAAATAAAAGTTTCGTATCACCATCAATGTAAGTATTACTATTTGAACTAAATTTAATAATGAGATATCTACCTGTGATAATAGGAGTTAGATAAAGTAACCTTTACTCTATGATCTTAGATAACTATATTTCTTGTCATCACTCAATTTTTAACAACGTTCATAGCTACTGTATCTTACGGTGGCAAAATGTGACATGTGTGTATTTTTATTTATCCTGTGGCCACGAGATACTATGTCGTGGCCACGAGTTACTAAGTCGTGGCCACGAGATAGCTAGATCGTGGCCACGAGATACTATGTCGTGGCCACGAGTTACTTAGTCGTGGCCACGAGATACTATGTCGTGGCCATGAGTTACTAAGTCGTGGCCACGAGATAGCTATGTCGTGGCCACGAGATACTATGTCGTGCCCACGAGTTACTAAGTCGTGGCCACGAGATACTAAGTCGTGGCCACGAGATACTATGTCGTGGCCACGAGTTACTAAGTCGTGGCCACGAGATAGCTAAGTCGTGGCCACGAGATAAATAACCAATCAGATTACACCATTTATATGAATTTCCCTAATTAACTAGACATGTGCTATAGTACAAGGATGCCCCTACTTCACCACCCTATAAAAATGCCAACTATACAACTTATTGACTGGTCAATAATTTTATATTTTGCGTCAGTGTGACCCTGTTTTTGACCCAGTGACCTCGCATCTACTGATCAGGTGCAATGATGTTTCTGGGTTGTATAAACCATGGCTTATCCCTTCTAAATTATTTATCAGACAAGGATTTTACCTTATAGGCTATCTACTGTTCATGGGCAATGTCCCTTCCAAATAAAATAAACCAGAACTTATTCCTTCTCATGTTATCGTACAAACAAGGTTAACAGGCCGTTGTACGCAAAGACTGATCAATTCGATCTCAAAATTGTCCCAACAAAGAGCTATAGTCAAAATTAATGTCTGATGGGCATTGGTAGGTGACTTTCTAATATGATCCTAAAGAAAAGTTCAAAGTGAATATCTGCAGTATTTTCAAAGATTAATGTTTCATATAAAAGTAAGTTGTTAAGATTAAAAAAATCATAATATATATAGTGTATTCTGATTGGTTAATTATCTCGTGGCCACGACTTAGCTATCTCGTTCCCATGACTTAGTAACTCGTGGCCACGACTTAGCCATCTCGTGGTCACGACTAAGTAAGTCGTGGCCACGACATAGTATCTCGTGGCCACGACTTACCTATCTCGTGGCCACGACTTAGTAACTCGTGGTCACGACATAGTATCTCGATGCCACGACTTAGCTATCTCGTGGCCACGACTTAGTAACTCGTGGCCACGACATAGTATCTCGTGGCCACGACTTAGTAACTCGTGGCCACGACATAGTATCTCTTGGCCACGACTTAGTATCTCGTGGCCACGACTTAGTAACTCGTGGCCACGACATAGTATCTCGTGGCCACGAGATGAATAAAAATACACACATGTCACCTTTGTGCCATCGTAGTATCTTCATTCAAAACAGTTGCACTGTAGGCAAGTTTTGTTAAATAGAGGATATTGAATGAGTTTTAGTTCAATACTGAACTTATTGAACGGCCGTGCAATACCATTTGTACGGAGTCGCAAAATCGGCACGAGTATGTGATAAAGCAAATTTATAAATTATGTTGCATATAAAGTAATATCTTTCTAATGAAAAGTTCTGCAGCAAACCGAATTCATTCAATTTGATATTTTTTCTTACTTTTCACTTTTCAATATTATATATGTATGACTTCAAGGACAGAAAGCGAGAAACAAATTTAATTCAATGAAAAAATTGACGAAATTGGTCAGGCAATAAAATCATTCGTATTTTATTTCATTTGTATGCTTACCTCAATTTTACTACTTTTACCGAGCGTTCAGGCCGCCATTTTACGAGCCCATTGTACGATTTTGGTCACGTGATCATCCGCAGTGTTAAATGATTGCTTTACAATACCCGTTTTTAGCTCGACTTTTTTTTTGAAAAAAAAAAAAGGTATTGTTATAGTCAGGTCGGCGTTGCCGTTGCCGTTGCCGTTGCTGTTCCCGTCCGCAAACTTGTACCTGGATCATAACTTTTTTATTTCTTGGTGTATTGTCTTCATACTTGGCCACAACAACCCTTGGGACAAGACCTTTCAGTAGACCACACTAACCTTGACCTTCAAGGTTAAAAGTCCAATTTTTGCTTGTTCATGCTGTTATTGGCTGTAACTTTGTTATTTTTGAATGGATTGTCTTCAAACTTGAACATAATAATCTTCAAGGATATCCCTTAAAAATGGCCCGCCAGACCTTGACCTTCACTCATAAATGACCTTGACTTTGAAGGTCAAATTATTGAAATTTTCATTTTTTTGGCTATTATTGGCTGTAACTTTGTTATTTTTGAATGGATTGTCTTCAAACTTGAACATAATTATCTTAAGGGATATCTCTTAAAAATAACTAGACAGACCTTGACCTTCACTCATAAATGACCTTGACTTTGAAGGTCAAATTATTGAAATTTTCATTTTTTTTGGCTATTATTTGCTGTAACTTAAATTTGTTATTTTTGAATGGATTGTCTTGAAACTTGAACATAATAATCTTTAAAAGGTAACTGTTAAAAATATACCGAAATACCTTAACCTTCACTCATTAATGACATTGTCTTTGAAGGTCAAATTATTGAAATTTTCATTGTTTGGCGGTAAATGACTGTAACTTTGCTATTATTGAAGGGATCAACTTCATATTATAACAGAACATTCTTAAGGACCAGACCTCGTTGTTTATCAAACCCAAATTTGCTTGGGCTCTTTAATGACCTTGACCTTGAAGGTTAAATTACTGAATTTTCTCAGATTTGTGCATTAAATGACCATAATTATATATTTATTGGTGTGTGTGTGTGTGTGTGTGTGTGCGTGTGCGTGTGCGTGTGTGTGTGTGTATATATATATTTACAACAACAACAACAACAAGAATTGCGTCATTGTTTCTATTTATAGAATTGCGTCATTGTTGCTATTTTAGAAATTGCGTCATTGTTGCTATTTTTAGAAATTGCGTCATTGTTGCTATTTTTAGAAATTGCGTCATTGTTGCTATTTATAGAATTTGCGTCATTGTTGCTATTTTTAGGAATTGCGTCATTGGTGCTATTTTTAGAAATTGCGTCATTGTTTCTATTTTTAGGAATTGCGTCATTGGTGCTATTTATAGAAATTGCGTCATTGTTTCTTTTTTAAGAAATTGCGTCATTGGTGCTATTTTTAGAAATTGCGTCATGTTTCTATTTTTAGAAATTGCGACATAGTTGCTATTTTTAGAAATTGCGTAATTGTTGCTATTTTTAGAAATTGCGTCATTGTTGCTATTTTTAGAAATTGCGTCATTGTTTCTATTTTTAGAAATTGCGTCATTGTTGCTATTTATAGAAATTGCGTCATTGTGTCAATGTTTCTATTTTTAGAAATTGCGTCATTGTTTCTATTTTTAGAAATTGCGTCATTGTTTCTATTTTTAAAAATTGCGTCATTGTTGCTATTTATAGAAATTGCGTCATAGTTGCTATTTTTAGGAATTGCGTCATTGTTGCTATTTTTAGGAATTATGTCATTGTTGCTATTTATAGAAATTGCGTCATTGTTGCTATTTATAGAAATTGCGTCATTGTTTCTATTTTTAGAAATTGCGTCATTGTTGCTATTTATAGAATTTGCGTCATTGTGTCAATGTTTCTATTTTTAGAAATTGCGTCATTGTTTCTATTTTTAGAAATTGCGTCATTGTTGCTATTTATAGAAATTGCGTCATAGTTGCTATTTTTAGGAATTGCGTCATTGTTGCTATTTTTAGGAATTGTGTCATTGTTGCTATTTATAGAAATTGCGTCATTGTTGCTATTTATAGAAATTGCGTCATTGTTTCTATTTTTAGAAATTGCGTCATTGTTTCTATTTTTAGAAATTGCGTAATGTTGCTATTTTTAGAAATTGCGTAATGTTTTTATTCATATATATATATACAAAATATATAAACAAAACTAATGTGACAAGACAGACCAACTAAATTTATAAAAAGGAAACGTTAAGATATGTTCAAACCTTTAGAACAAGTAAAAAGTCGAGCGTTGCCCCCGCCCGGCGGTGGCTCTTGTTGTTCAAAATATCGGTTGAAAAAGTGTTCGCAGTATCAAAATTAGGAGGGTATGATCCCCTTAAATATGGTACTAAATATGGTACTAAAGTTGCTAAATGCCCTAGCTCACTTTAGGGAGAAGTGGGAATGGCATTTAGATTTGCCTTTATTCATCCGTCCGTGCGTTCTCATGTTGTGTCACATGTAGTTCTAAAAGTACTTAAGTTAGTCAACAAATTTTATACGAATGTTAATCAGTAAAAAATTGCAATTTTCAATTGGTGTCGTGCGTATTGCTCAAACAGTATTTGACAAAGTTCCATGAAATTTTATAAGAATGTTGGTCAGAATGTGTAGTTGTGCACCTGAGTGTTTGCTTAGGTCATATTGCGACTCTCAGGCTTTATTGGTAGAGGAAGACCTCAGGTGCCCTTCCCTGCATTACATCAGGCATGAACAGAGGGACCTGACGTTCCTTATAGTAACCAAGCTTGGCAAGTTGACAACCAAGGCATATGTCAGGGTTAACCCAGGGCCCACTTTTATATATGCTTAACTTTTTTTTGAAATAGAATAACAGTTGAACCAACCTAGCTTTCGTTACAATATTATGTTTTGGTAAAAGGACAGACAAAAAATTACATAAAGAAAATTAAAGAAGAACAGAAAGCTTGATAATCCATAGATACACAAACAAGAGGACCAAGATGACCCTAGATCGCTCACCTGACCCATGTTCAAACTCATCCGAGCAATTACCTAGACAAGCATCCTGACCAAGTTTCATGACAGGTGAGTCAACAAGAGCTGTCGGTAGGACAGCAACGCTCGACTATTCTTAGTGCTTGATAGTAGAAAAAAAATACTTGACACAGTTACCTCCTCCTGTTTACAGGTTGGGGTAATGATGGTGAACAAGTGTGCAAAGTTTCAAAGCCATATGTCATTGGACTTTGAAAAAATTTGAGGTGTTACAAAAACTTGAACGTAAATTCTAAGTCGAAAAGGGGGCATAATTCTGTCAAAATGCTTGATACAGTACGTTATCTTCTCCTGTTTAAAGGTTGGGGTAATGATGGTGAATAAGTGTGCAAAGTTTCAAAGCCATATGTCAATGAACTTTGAAAATATTTGAGGTATTACAAAAACTTTAACATAAGTGGTTACGCCGACGCTCAGGTGACTACAATAGCTCTACTTATTCTTATCGAATAATCGAGCTAAAAATGTGACTACTAGAGTGTTAACAAAGTTTTCCATATTTGAGCAGTGTGACCTAGTTTTTGACCCCAGGTGACCCATATTCAAAGTTGACCTAGAAATCATCAAAACAAACTAAGATTAATTTCTAGGATATTTGGATCAAAACAATAGCCACTAGAGTGTTAACAAGATTTTTCTATTTTTAGCTCCTGTGACCTAGTTTTTCATCGGAGATGACCCATGTTCAAACTCATCCGAGCAATTACCTAGACAAGCATCCTGACAAGGTTTGATGAAGAGCGAGGCAAAACTGTGACCGCTAGTGTTAACAAACAAATGTGCACAGACGACGGACATTCAACGATCCTAAAAACTCACCCTGAGCTAGCTTAGGTGAGCTAAAAAGGTTCCCCAACACAACAACTGACAGAACGTAAGACTCTGTCACACAAAGTTTTACAACGAACTGCAACCATAAGCTTTATTAAATGACAAGTTCCCTCACATACGAGAATTAAATGTACCTGAGAGAATAAACACCGACTGTTGTGAAAATAACTTTTATTATGGATCATGTAGGTCCCTCAGAAATACACCACACTATAAGTAGTTTCTATATTTTATTATCACAGTTATCATGAAACAATTAGCTATAGTAAACATAATCATTTTGTAAATATATATATAATAGTATAAACCTTAATTTCCTCAATGATCCAAACTGACTTGAAATTAAAAACAAACTGGTTAATGAGTATACATGTATAACAGATTGTTAAATAAACATATATACCGTAATCCTTTATTGTCTCTGCCACCAAAATGGTTTTTAACAGAAAATTTAACACATGAACTGTTTCGTTTACTCGACAAAAAATTGTCAATTAATATAGAGAAATCCAATTCAACCTTTAAAATGAAAAAAAAATGAACATAAAAAATGGGGGGTAACCTAAATCCAGGAATTGCTCAGCTATTCACCGCCTAAATCGTAACTTCCATTTATTATCTACATTTATTGTTTGAACATGAACTTAGTATTCTAAAAGCTATTTAAAATCTAATATGCTTGAATATGAAGAAAATTGTGTTAATGTATTTTTCAAGGAATGTGTTTTCCATGTGTTTGTTTTTGAAAAAATTAGATACATAAATATGGATTCAAGAAAAGCTATCAGGTAAAACTATTGCGTTGAAACCTTCAAACAAAAACCTTAAAGAAATTAGCAAACTTTGTATTATATATACATTTTTTTTCAAATAAGCACAGTATTTTATTTTTCTAGCTGACTTTTTCTTTTGTTTGAGCCAACAAAATACATATTGTTTTATCAAAATTGATGAAAAATAATATAACATTTTCTAGAAATAAAATTTCTTAACACTTTAAACTGACTAAAAGTATGTTGAGCACATAAAACTGTTAACAATCCATTAAACCCTCTTAACAAAGACATTTGAAAAATCAACAAATAAAAACAATAAAATAAACAAAGGAATAAAAATATGTGCTACCGTAATTAGTGGTCCATGTCACATGTGTATGTGAATATACATTATAACATGTATATAAAAAAAAATCTTCCATTCTTTATCTTCACAGTAAACTTGAACATATTAATTATTCCCATATATAGTCTAAGATAACTAAAATAATCCAAATACATTATGTTTTAACATATGTTATTAAATGATGTTCAAAGTTCTTAAAAAATTTGGCATACACATACCGTTACCATGGTAAACAGTGGTATAATTTACAGAAACAGTTCAATTAAACCATGGCTTATGCTATTTAATACAGTAATCATGGTTTACATGAACATTGTCATTGGTTAATGCCATGGTATACACGAATAATTACCATGGTTAATGCTTGTGGTACAGGTAAGTAGCAAACAATACTTAAAGTAAGATTAAAAATGTTTTTAACAGAAATAGGAAAAAGAATGTCATCATAGTTTTCACCTTAATGGCAGTAGCACAGGCAGTTAAAGGTATGTAAGAAAGTATTTCTTACAATTTTTTTTTTATTTAAAAAAAAAAGACATAAAAAATGATGAAACGTGCCAATACAAACCCTACATGCAGCTAGCTGCAAAAGTGAAACAAACTTATATCAATAATTATCAATGATAAAAGAAAAAATGTAAAAAAATCACATCTGAGATTACATTCTGCAATAAACTGCGTGTGAAACCCATGCACTTTAAACCTCCAACATATTGAGGAGCAGTCTGCAGAATAAATAAGTGAAGCCCAGTCTGCACTCCAAATAAAATATATATATATATAGAGAGAAAGAAAAATAAACCAGCCTGCATAGAAATAATACAGTCTAAATGAGTAATATATTAAAAAACAATTATCTCCCTTTCAGCACAACATGATGGGTTTTACTTGCCTGCCAAGTACCGGATTTTACAAAACCTGGTAAAAATAAGGGGGGAAACAAATATATAAACAAATGCAACTTGAACTATTACCATCATATAGAGTGTAAAATATTCATATCAAATAATTTATTTTCTAAAATGATCATGAATTTAAAAATTGATATCAGATAATAACTTATAAGCAATACAATGTATCTATTTTTATAAAAAATGTCTACTTAAACAAGACTAAAACTATACCACCTTGACAGTCTATTCTGGTATTCTGACCACATTTTATTTAAAAGAATTATTTATAAGTTATACAAAATGGAATAAGAAAGTTCATTTTATTGTTCAAAATCATTTTTATTAATAAAATGATGAAACAAATGTCAGTACAGTGAAAAAGATCTCACAGTGAAAATGCATTAATTAGACCAGACAAAAATAGCCAACTACCAAGCCATTGCCACAACTATGATTTTGAACCAATCCCCCTTTGAACAAAAACATATTTCCAAAACACAACAATAACAAATAACATTTTTATGCTGCTACTGGTTCCCGGTCAGCACAAGGTGAAGGCCATTTAAAATCTGCTTTGGATGGTGTGCCGGGCGCCGGAGACATAATTGCAGGAAGTGGAGATTTTTGTGCAGCTAATTTCGGGCTTGCAGATTTTGCACGCTGAGAAGCCGGTCTGGGCCAGTCAATATTGGGCGTGCAAGGTTTAACTGGTGTTTTTATACCGGGCGAGGCAGGAACTCCGACTGTAGATATGGGTTCTGGATTCATGGCGCCAGATCTAACGCCATTACCACTACCGCCAAGGGCTGTTTCAGCAACTGCTGGGTGAACAGGAAGATTCTTGTCGGCTTCTATGTCCATCTTAACAGGCAAAGGTGAAGGTATCTGGAAGTAAAATGATAGGTTCCATTTATAACAGCAATAAAGACTTCTGTTTACTCCTTAAAGGGACTCCACTGAGGTTTTTTTTGACATAATGGGACTGGAAATAATTGTGCAAGATTTATGTTCTTTTTGATGAAGGTCTAGACCAATAATTTGTGTGCAAAATTTCAGATCAATCACTTATTCTAAAATGATTATTCTAGACTCATTGCGAATAATGACCAAAAATTGAAAAGCGCTGCAATGCTTTTCACTCAAAACAGACTTTTAATAGCACAAAAATACGATTTTCTGTTTATTTCTGAGCCTCAGCTGAGCTATGTATGAAATTCAATTTTTATGATTTTAGGCTTTTATTCCATTAAAATATAATTTCTTGTAAGCAGTCACAAGTAACAATCATAAGATTAGCTTTGATTTATACATATAAATTTTGGCTTCAGAGTAAAGACAATGAAGAAAACTTGAAGCTTATATGAGCCTTGTCACGACAAAACCAACATAATGGGTTTGCGACCAGCATGGATCCAGACCAGCCTGCACATCCGCGCAGTCTGATCAGGATCCATGCTGTTCGCTTACCAACTCTATTACAAGTAGAGAAACTGATAGCGAACAGCATGGATCCTGATCAGACTGCGCAGATGCGCAGGCTGGTCTGGATCCATGCTGGTCGCAAACACATTATGTTGGTTTTGTCATGACACGGCTCAAATGTGTTTGTTTCCTCGATATCAACTGTATGGCTTTTGTATAAGAAACATATGACCCAAAAATTATGGGGTTAAGAAGAATGCCAGATACTGTAGAATCACTATTATTCGTGATGCACTCATTTTCGTGGTTTTCATAGATATATCAATTCATGAATTTAAGATCCAAAAAAAGTTCCTTTTGTCTGTTGTAAGATTATTTTGCATCACATTACTTACATTATACCTTAAAAAAAAAATAAACAGTCCACAAATTTCAGAACCCACACAAATGTTCTTTGTGACAAAACTTTGATATATTTCATGCCCACAGAATTTAGTGTTAACCACAGGGTTCTTCTTTATTCTTTTGTATTAAAGTAAAACTACAGTAGGTTTCAATATTTATGATTTCCTATTATAAAGAACATTGTATGTACATGTCTATTATAAATTCTAAATCTTTAGAAATATGTTATAGAAGTCAACAATAAAAATCATCTATTTTCATCAATTTATACAACAGGGGTTACTGTGATGCAGACCTTTTTAACATTATACATATTTTAATCTCTTTTAAAGCCACAAGAACTTGGTTACTTACATTACACTGTTTTAATTTTCCTTTCAGCACAATATCACCATCTGTTTTAATTCTTTCTAATCTCATCATAGCATTTTCTGTGCGAGCCGTGCAATTTGTCATGCTGTTTCCTGTAATAAACAAATTAAATAAATAAATCAATTGCAGCTTGAAGCATATAATTTATTAAGCCTGCTTTCTTGCATATCAGACTGGTGTTTCCATTCTTTAGTTTTACCCAAATGTGCTATACAAATTTGCATCATTTTAGCGCATTTTATAATATTTAAGAATGAAAATGCGTGTCTGGGATGTCTTCATTTCGCGGTTATGAATGAAGTAGTAAATTCATACATTGTCAGAAAATAGACTAACTTACAGATGAAATGACATTAATTTCTATGGAAAACTGTTTTAATGAGGTAAATAATTTAAAATATGATATAGAATATGGTAGAATATGCAAGAAATAATATCTGAAATATGTTTGCGGTTTGGACCGGAATATTCTTCCACTGGTCACATGGTTAGAATCTGTTGTCACCAGCATACCAAGCGCCAATGAATTACTCAAGAACTGATCACATTATGTTTATTTTTCCTTTCCAATTTGCATTCATTATTTTCAAAAGAAATTGGTCTGCATTAATTTTGTCTAAAACTTTTAGTATAGATATGTATATACATGTATTTCAAATTAGGTAACTGAGTATACCTGGAATTTTCAAAGGCATATCCCATGTGCCTACAAAAGTACCCCATGGTGATTCTCTTGACCTTTTGACTCCAGGCAATAGATGACCTTTATCACTGGCAACAATTTGTGTGAACCCTACAAAAGCCCTTGGCCTCTGAAAAAAAATTAATCATGAAAATTACACTTTTGATCAAATCAATTAAAAGTTCTAATATACTTGGTTATATATTTGAGATAAAAACAAATTTTGTATTTAAATTTATTACAAGTCTGACAATAGGTCTGATACTTTTAATTTTGTAAAATAGAAAAAAAATGAAAGATTTTCTGGAATTGAATTAAAATTTTCAGAATTCCAGAAGTGTTTTCCGTTTCAATTGAGTATAATTAACAGGTCATCACAGTTGTTTTCAACTAAACTGAAAAGGAAGAAAGAAAAACAAATATATTCAAAGACTGATATCCCTAATATATTAAATCAACTTGGAAATTAGAATTTGCAATTGGTTTTAATTGTTTAAAGTAGCTCCACTGAGGTCAAACAAACTTAAAGGTAAAAAGGCTTAAAAACATATGATTTGAAAGTCATACAAAGATCAAGGGAAGTAACTATGAAAAAATCTGCAAAAGGTAATACAGAAATATAATCAGAATTAAATTGAATATCAATTTTTGTGTGATTCTTAGCCAGATTAGAATGTACTAAAGGTTTTCAGTGCAAATCTTTTCATTTCTGATAAAAATTATTATTTTGGAAGCAATTGTGGGGAGAGGGAAAGATCTAAAAATTTGCATGTTTACTGGTCCAGTAATTATCCTACATCAGATAAGACACAAAACACAGAAATATATTTCCAGTCATTTATGTCAAACAACCTCAGTGGAGTACCTTTAACATCTTAGTTGATTAAAATCTATATCTATAAGTCAGTGTTTTTTTTGTTGTTGTTTTTTTTCCTTAAATTGAATTGAATATGCAAGACTTGAAAAATGACAACAATAAAATGAGAAAATTGCGCCAATTTTCACTTGGTGAATTTTAGGTTTAATTTTTTTTTGTTTAACATTTTAATGACATGTTATTACTATCTATGTTTTATGATTTTAGTAGGGGAATGGGTGATATTTAGTGGAAAAGTTAGTTAATAAATTCTATAAGTTATTTGAAAGGTAATAATTATGCAATTTTGGGGCTTAATAATTGAATGGTGGAAGAAACACCCTAAATATCTGTCAGTGTGTTACATCTAGTAAGTTCAGTACATTGCACAGATATTTAATAAGTAGGATTTCTGGGCAAAAGTTTTGGTACCTTAAAACCATGAAATCAAAAATTCTTGAAACAAATAAATTTAAAAATAGGGCCCAAGGCAATATTTTAAACAGAGAATATTTTAAGGTCATATAGAAATTTTAACCAAAAATACAACTCAGAATTAACAATTTTCCAATGTTTAATGACCTTTGAGATGGACTGTCATATAAATTATACTGTCTGCAAATTCTTTTATGTAATAGCCGGATGCTAATAAGAAAAAATTAAACAATTTAAACAGCTGAAAAAAAGGAGTGACTGTAACTGTTTCAGATGTTAAGTGTCTAACTTAAACTAAGTGGTTGACCTTCTTTCCTAGGCAAGCATAGTGTTTTTCCACAATAGATGCAACATTCAAATGAACACTATTGAAATCAGTTTATGAAGATTGTCAGAAATTTTCAAATTTTGGCAATTTCTAAAACTCACTGGACAAAAAAGACTAAAAGTGTAAGGAAATTGTAAGAAGGAAAAGAGCACACTGAGTATCGTAATGCCTTAATAACTAGTCTGGCAGTTATTATATGAATATAATCCTGTTTTTTACAGAATACATCTGCTACAGGCACTTCATATCAGTGTTACATAATATAAGCTTAGCAACACACATATTTTTTTATGTCTATAAAATATTTTCAGAACACACACAAACACACAAGTTATTTCACTCATTTTGAAATGTTCAAAAGGCATAAATGGAAGCAAAAAAGTAAAACTGTAAAAAAAAAGAATGCAAAGCAAAAAGAAAGAAGAGATTGTTATTATTTTCATTGAGAATCAATTACATACACCATCAGCATTTATTTTATCAAGTGAACTTAAAACATTCAATGCTGATGACTTATGCATCATTTTAACAGTATTAATGTACTAGTATATATATACCTAAGGACTTGATAATTCATTACTAATGTAACACAAATTGTACCTATAAATTAGCAAAATTATATATTTCCGAAAGAAGCCTACCAGTAAATTTCAATAACAATAAAATCATCATAAAATCATTTGATTTCCGTATCTATTGTAAAAAATAAAATATTCCATATTTTTTCCCCCAAAATTTCTCCTTAATACAATTCCCAGTCACCCCCATCCCCGTACAGCCCTCGCCCTGCACAAACTACAAACATGTAAAATCCTGCCAACCCACTAAATGCTCTACAACTTACTGGTGTATACTAAAGTATAAATAACAGTAGGTACAGAATCATGTTGATATATATCTAAACAAGTCCTTAAGTATAATTTATGTTTTGGAATTCAGGGATACACTTACGCAGTCGCTCATTCCTTTGATAATCATTTTCTAAATTGCAAATAATAACATCTGAGATAACAAAGAAACACAAGGGTACATAATCTTTCCAGAAAAAAATGATGTTCAAAACCTTTTCTGATATATATCCAGTGATTTTCCTGCTTATTTAACTGAATCCGATAAAAGGCCGCTTCCCAATTGGAATTTTCTTTACAATCATGCAGTTTTCCGAAAAAATCGGAACTTAAACCTCAGCTTTTTTACTTCCCAAATTTATTAGCAATTTTAGCAATAATTTTTCCCAAAATCAAGAGGTGAAGAAAAATAATTGATATCCTAGACTATAATTATTCAACATAAATTACAGAATCTGTAACAATTTTGGCTGAATTAATTAACTTCATTTTACTCATATGAACACATTTACCTGAAACTCAAATATCTTTGCTCAAGATTAAAATATCCAGAAATGACAGAAAATAATCTTAAACTTATACAAACCATGCCTTTCTTTTTCTTAATTTTAGAAGTAAAGTAGTTACAACAAATTATGCTCCTTCACAATAACTTAATGTGCATCAATTGTATATAATAGTTCCTTATAAATGTAACAAAAATGTTGATTTATTCACAAGAAATACTAAAATTTTTCTGAAATTATTAAAACTGAAGTTTCATTTATCTATGATATAATCAAGGGTGAGTATCATAATCATCAAAATAAATCTCAACTGCTTGAAATCAATAATCCAAGTATACAACTGACAAAAATCTAATCTCTGAGCCCTAATCCTTACACATCTATAAAAAAGATAATAAAATGGATTATATTTTGCATACCTCTCTGTACTGCCTAGGAACTTCCCAGTTCTGGAGAAGTTTAGGTTTAAATTCCTTGTCATACTGAAAAAATAATAAAGACATATATTTATCTATGAAAAAGAATGGAACATTTCAATCAAATTTGAACATAACTTTGTGAAGCAGTTTTAAAAGTTTAAGGATTTGCATGTGTTTTGAATTTGCACTCTTTTTGGAAACAGGTCTGCACTCTGAGTTCTCTAATTTTGAAATCTGCAATCTTATCTGCTAACAAATAAGTTTTAACAACAGCTAGATTATAAATTTGATTGTAATTTGATAGTTTGGATGTTGAATTGGAGAACTGCAATTAAAATTGCAAAGGGAATTACTGGTATCATCCCAATAAAATACATCAAAATGTATATGGGCCTCTTAAATGTTACTACTTATGCATATACTGTTTCACAGTACAACCAACTGTTCTCTCCCTTGCCTATTTAGCCCCAGGTCCAGGATATGAGTTCTTATCTGTATTAGTTTTCACACCTTTATTAATATTTTAAAATGTCAGTGATCATTGTGTGATTTTATAATGTCAAACTGATAGAGATGTTGTCGTGTTCTCACATTTGAATGATTTGATATGAACTTTTAAAGATCAAGCGTTTAAATGAAAAATACTGGTAGGATACTGCTTTAATTTGTACTGCTCGCATGCCAGTACACTTTTTACACCTTTATATAAATGTCAATGGTCATTGTGTGATTATATTCAGTATACAACGGCTTTTTGTAAGATTTCTAAAATGCACAGATTAGAATACATTTATAACATGGAAGGATATGTACATGTTGGTTATGAAAGATACTGAAAATTAAAACATTATTAAAAACCCTGCACCCTAATTTGTTCAAGTCAGTTTTCATTTAAACGTTTGATATCACCATATATTTTTCAAATCAAAACGACGTTGCTTATGAGTAAACATATAGGAGAGAAACAACGTTCTACAAACACTTAATCGCCACTCAGCCATAATTGGCATAATGATAAACAACAAACAGATTAAATTTGCATCTATTTAGATTCCTTTTAAGGAAATTTATTTCATTGTGCACTTTTTAATAGCTGACACTATACTAACCTGATTGGCGCTGAAGTGTAAAGACATCTTTTTTCTACAAGGGAGGTTTAAATTGCACAGTTAATGGCCTCTATCCAATAACAAAAGGATTCTTTACATAGAGTCTAAGTTGTCATAATCACTTGCCGTCTCTAAGGAAGTGCTTCTCGGTAAAGTAAAAATAGTGACGAATATGACTTTCGCGCGCGGTTTCGACGTTGTCGTCGCAATTATCGTTATCTGTAATTTATTTCCCTTGGCGGAAACTTTTATTGCATGAAAATGTGAACTTGCTGGATAATGTTATCGCTGATACAGATTTTAAGTGTATGCCGTCATAGTTACCTCTCCATGTTGTATAAAGCTCCATGCTGTTGCTAGATCTATTTTTTGGTCGACTGTAAAACAGGCGACCAGGATTCGAATCTCTGATGGTGCAGGTTACTTTCGTTGTGATTGATCATAAAATTTTATGGTCATTCGCATTGTATGTACAGAAGTTACCAGTTCTTGATAAAGTGAAGGCAACTAAAACTGGTAAACTGCTTGACAGCCTGCCAAGGTGGCTGATCTGTGCTCTGGAAAATTTATTTGGGCTTATACTAGCTGCTGTGATCCGGAGTAAAACTACCAGCACCACTACCAGATCTATTTTTGTTATGAGGGAAGACTTTTACATGTATATAGATCTAGCTGTCACTGTGTAAAAAGTTCACTCATCATATCTTACGATAAAAAATCTGGAAAAAGGCGTTTACTCGGAAGAAAATAACATGAAAATTCCAAGTATATCTGTGGTTTGATTGAGTGCATCCCTCACGCAACCTCGGTTAGACTACAATGGGTGTTATTAAATTTTGCAAAATAAAATTGCGATAAAAGGTATTCATACGCGTCAGCGTTCATTCGGACCGGACATAATAACTTAAATTTAAGGTAGGGCTATGGCTAATTAATTAATATTTAGCTCTGTCATGAATTATTAATATTTAGCTCTGTCATGAATTAACCATTTATTACAGAAACTTGAATTTTTATCAAATAGCTTAAAGTCCGATTAAAGAAACCAACAAAACAAACAAAAATCCATGCAATGCATACAACAAAACTACATTTGTATACTCACGCCCGGCAAACTGTCGCTCCACTTCAAAATTGTGGTGTACGGTAAAACGAGCGAACGGCATTTCCGAGATAGAGCGGAAGGCCGATTTAATTGCCTAATTGTAAGTATTGTTTATGTTTTTGTCTTGTTATTCATTTAAGTTGTATTTTTTTGAAAAACGGAAAATGTGGTTCCGTGTAGGATTGATTTAGGCTTCCAATTGATCTAAGCTGTTACAAAAAGAAAATTATATTAAGCCCGGGAGAACTTTTCTCCCTGACGAAGCGAACGATGATTTGTAGAATATTGAACTTCCCAACCATAGAAATGCCATACCTTTCGGATTTCTTGAAAAAGTGTATTAGTAAATTATCAACCCGTAATAAGAGCTTGCCCTTCGTGCAAAATAAATTACTCCAGAAGGATTTCTTAAATTTGTAAATCGATATTTTTCGAAAGTAGTGGAGCGAAAGGGCGAGAGATGGAGCAAAAGGTTCGATGTTGAGCGCAAGGCGATATTAATTTGACAAAATCGAATATTTTTAGTTCTACCGCGAACAAATGTTACCGAGCAGGTGCGTGTAACTCGATTGTTCACGCCAAAATGTAATGTTTTCGAAAAGTTAGATATTCAAGGTGCAAAACACAAATAAGCCATGTTTTCATGAATTTGTAAGGTGGGAAATCGCTATGAAAATGGTTGACAAGGTGTCAGTCTTTATAAGGATATAACACATATTTATTATTTTTCGTCTGTAAGTGTAAATAGAAATTTCTACTATAACTAGGTCTATTATATTATTGATAATTTTTAGTCTGTACACCGACTGAGTTCTGCCTCACTTTGAGAGGAAAATAATAAACTAAACAACAATGCTAAATAAGGGAGGAAGTATCTTGAAACATAACTGGAAGACGTGTTATAACCTTATAAACAACTGACACCTTGTCAACCATTTTCATAGCGATTCCCCACCTTTCAAATTCATGAAAAACGTGACTGATTTGTGTTTTGCTCAGAACAGGTACGTTAGAGCTATTAATTACAGAAAGTCATTGTAAACTGAACTTGGTAGTAGTGATCCATTTAATTTAATGCGTTCCATGCATTGCATAATTTTGTTTCTGTTCTGCACCTTGAATTTCTAACTTTTCGAAAAACATAACATTTTGGCGTAAACAATCGAGTTACATGTACACGTACCTGCTCGAAAACATTTGTTTGCGGTAGAACTAGAAATATTCGACTTTGTCGCGTTTAGTTTAAACATATTTTATTTCAAACATTTTCACACAAACATATATTACAGACAATCCATTGCTACATAATATACAATGCTGAAAAAGGGTTAGATCCGAAAGCATACAAACATATAATTCATTACTGTAAATTTGTTTGTCCCATTTGCACGGACACACGTTTTTAAATGTACATAACCATGTCAAAAGCCATGATTGACCTCGAATAAGTGGCATCCTGTATTATGCCATGCATTAATGTGTATGATTCAATGGTCGGGCCTCATCCAAATTTCGAACATAAATAATGGAATCTACACGGCAGCCATAGGTGACACCTTCGCGATTACAGTTATTACGCTATATAGTCGTTGAAAGGATATCACAATTTATTAGTCTCTTTAAAAGGTATATATATCTCGGTCTTAACACTTGATCATGTCTATTTTAAGTTCCTATAGCTTTTATTTATAAAAAATCATTGACTACACTCCTCCTAATACGTCAAATTAATATCGCCTTGCGCTCAACATCGAACCTTTTGCTCCATCTCTCGCCCTTTCGCTCCACTACTTTCGAAAAATATCGATTTACAAATTTAAGAAATCCTTCAGGAGTAATTCATTTTGCACGAAGGGCAAGCTCTTATTACGGGTTGATAATTTACTAATACACTTTTTCAAGAAATACGAAAGGTATGGCATTTCTATGATTGGGAAGTTCAATATTCTACAAATCATCGTTCGCTTCGTCAGGGAGAAAAGTTCTCCCGGGCTTAATATAATTTTCTTTTTGTAACAGCTTAGATCATTGGAAGCCTAAATCAATTCTACACGGAACTACATTTTCCGTTTTTCGAAAAAATACAACTTAATAAATAACAAGACAAAAACATAAACAATACTTACAATTAGGCGTTTAAATCGGCCTTCCGCTCTATCTCGGAAATGCCGTTCGCTCGTTTTACCGTACACCACAATTTTGAAGTGGAGCGACAGTTTGCCAGGCGTGATACTGTACATAGTTTTTTAATTATTTTTTTATATATGGAAAATCAGACTTTAAATTTCTCGCGCTATTATAGAAGTATAAAGTTGCAATCTTGATATTGAACCAATGAACACTTTATAACTATGAATAAATGCCGTCTTTATTGTCTTTGCAACATTTTCAATTTTGCTGTCTTGGGCGTTCTTTACAGGAACCCGTTTTGCTCTTATTTGACTGAAGCTTAAGAGTAAACATATGTTAGCATGTGAGGTCATTGTGAACCGTACGTCAATCTGTCCTACTGGGTTATGTGCTTTGCAACGAATAAGACCTACTAGTATTACGTAATAATTTAAGGCGATATACTAGAACTACTTTCAGATACATGATAAAATAACGGTCACAGTGTTAAAGACACCAATCCATAAAGATTAAGAAATGGTCATAAAACTAGAAATACTCATTGTAAACACTCAGTTTTTCTCGAACTCATTTCTCCGTTTCACCATCAAAGATTGGAACAACTTACCTGTGGATAAAAAAGTACAAGCAGTCTGAAAATATTTAAAAGGAAACCAGATGATAGACTGATTAAAATACTTTCCTACTACAAGCATGGCAATCGAAAGTTATAAATACAATACATTGCACACAAGACTAAGAACACATTGCAGCATTCTCAAAGAACATATCTTTAGTGAAAACATAATCCTTGATCCATTCTGTCAGTATGGTGAGAATAAAGACACGGGTCACTTCTTTTTTAATTGCAACCTCTACTCTGACCACCAAAGGGCTATTTTTGTTTTGTTTGTTTGTTTCATTTTACGCCTTTTCCCAACAGTATTTCAGTCATATAGGTGGGTAGTTTCCTAACCATCGTTCCTGGAGAGTTACACCAGTACTAGACTACCTTCCTCCACGCTAAACTACCAAAGCATCTCCCGGGGATCGAACCCACGCCAGAGAGGTAACTGGATTAGAAGTCATCGACTCTAACCCCTCAACCACGGAGGCGGTTAAAAGGGCTATTTTTACGCACCAGCTGGGCCATATAAACAACAGCAGGAACTACGTACAGCACTGCTTTTCGGAAACTCTACTCAGTGATGCCGCAAATGCTATCTAATATGTTTGATGCTGAACATGCATATTGACATGAAACCAAACGGTTTTGATACGTGAACAGAATTACACGTCAAGAATAATTCACCCTTATATAAACACAGAGCTGTACAAACCTAACAAAATAATGGCCTAAAATGATCTTTCTGTTTTGTTTTTTTTTGTTTCTTTTTTGTTTTTTTTTATTTCTACTTTTCCTTCCATGCAGATCGATTTTCCTTGTCTTTCTATTTAAAGTTATAGAGTAGTTCAAGTTACATTTGAAAGTTATATGATAGAATTCGCTTCCTATATATTGAATTGGCTCAAAACTAGTGTTATTAGTTTCTGTTCTATATCTGAGGTATGCTTTTATCTGTTGTTTTTATTTCTTTTTTTTACTGTTTATCAATTCATTTTTTTACTTAAATTACAATTGCAATATATAATTAGTATATTTTGATTATATGTTGTTACTATCATGCTGTATCATATATTTTATAGGAGAGAGATTTACAAAAGGCATTGACTTATTTTTCCTGTTTCTAAACTAAATTGTTGAGTGTTTTGTTAATATATAAGCATGTATAGTAATGAAATAAATATTGTTTAAACTAAATATAGTGGAAGAAAAAATAACAGCACTTAATATTTGAAACTGATTTAGCAGTCAATTTCCCTTCTATATCAGACATATACAAATTTTGTTACTTTCTCGCGGACGAACACTATTTAAATACACGTCATTATAACCCCGGCAGATTGGGTTGGTGTGCTTTCTACGTGCAAGGCTTCCTAACCCACCATGCATATCCAGTAACGCAGGAATGTGCAAATAACGTAAAAGTAACGCCGAATCTGTGCAACGCTACTGTCAAACCGAATAACACAGTAAGTGAATGAACCAAAATATTTTATTCTAAATCAAATTTAAAGAAATGGATTAGCGCATACGGCTGCTACGACATTATACTTAAACGTGCTTTACATTTTTTTTTTTGCAGGAATATGTTTACCTCTTTAGATCATTCGTGAAAAAAAAACCTAATTACCGTTTTGAAGGTGACTTTTGTTTCGTCAAATAAATATGTTAATTTAACACATTCAAAACATTATTTATTCATATCTTGTATACCTAAGACATTTGTCAAACTACAAGTGTCGTATAATAATAGAAGGAAGCTTGTAAAATAGGAATTAGCTACTTTTTATGAGATAACTTCCGTTGCCTTATTCGCGAATTCAGCGTTACCTCTTAAAATGTTTCATCTGCTAGATCAAGTGTATATGACACGAGTAGATTGGAAAATGTCACAGGTACACCGATTATAAAAAATCATAAAGTAATATGTATGTTATTTTATTTAAATATATCAACGAATCTTAAAATCGCCACCAATACGCTAGTCAGGTCGACATTTGCACAAATGATCTTGAAAAATAAACATGTTTATATTTTTGATAAGGTTTAAACTATAATGTCTCATTAACCGTATGCGCTTATTCATTTCTTCCAATGTGGTGTACAATAAAACCGAAGTTAGAAGAGCCGAAGTTTTAAAATTGTGTGAATTGAGTGATAAAAGATATCGTACCCATCGTCCAAAAATAGACACACAATAATTTATCAAATAACTTCAAGTTTGCGTTGCCATAGAAACGACAGGTACAAAAAAATGGTTTTTTGATATCAGACGTGCTTATCAGCTTTAAAATTCAGGACTTTATTTCCTTCTATGATAAATTCCGTGTTTAAATCAATAATTGGCCATTTCCGTGATAAAAAAAATCACCAAATCATGCACGCATAATTAATGCATTTTTTCTTCAGCACACTGCATTAACTTCTGGTTTCCTAATCCCATTGCAAAATTGCGAAAACTGAATAAATGGTCTCACGGCTAAGAAATTTAAAAAAAGGTGTCATCAATAATAATAATAATAATATATATTTTTTTATTTTTTTGGCGGGGGGGGGGGGGCTATGTCACATCGACACAGTCGGGATTCGAACCCACAGCGGTGAGGAATAATAATAATAATAATAATAATAATAATGATAATAATAATAATGATATTAATAATGATGATGATGATATTAATAATGATGATGATGATGATCGCAACAACAACAACAAGACATAGTTATGTAAGCGCTCTATACTACCAGATACTTAAATACAACATATTAAGATATAGATCTAGCATTGTGATACTACTTACGAACGATTTGATAATTAAACCGAAGAGTCAGATTAATACATGTATGATATGCGGTAATAAATGCAGCAAAAGCATGTGCAATGCTATGTAAATGACATGCTTATTACAAATTCATTGAAATCAGAACAATATTTAAGCGAAGAAAAATGTCACACAATTTCAATTATTTCAAAGCATTTTGTACTCTGTCCCAAAACATATCCATGTGGTCATCATTTTCGGGTCGTTCAATGTAAGTCTGTTGACGTATAATGTCAAGTATCTCCAACGGCAGTCCTTCAACCGGAAAGTCTTCCAATTTCACCAAGCAGACGACATTTCTTCCGGTTTTGATACTTTCCATTCTTGCCATATTCATTTCAAATATGCACCATTCACTTTTAAGAAAATCTTTACTCATTAAAATGAGTGTCTTCCGTGAAGACGCTATCGCCTGCATGATGTTGTCATTAACGAATTCTCCCGCTCTGAAATCTCTATCATGTACCAGAAGCTGCAGACGACGCCTGTCTTCAAGTTGTGGAACCAAATCATTCTTCACAAACCTGGCGTTTTCGCTTGCGTATGAAACAAACGCATCAAACATAAAGTCTAAATCATCACCTTGATTGATAAGTATTTTGTTCCCGTTCACTCTCAGTTTAATCGAGTAATAAAAATATCTGAGATCCCATCTGTATCGATATATCATACCGCAAAGAGTAATGATTAGAAAAAGAACTAGTCCTAAAGATGAAAATATGATTAAGGTTGTATAATCGGCACAATCCTTCAAAAGATCGCTATAAATAGCTGATGCCTTCCGCAATTTCATTGGTTTACCATTTTTATACATACAAACAACAATATTAAAATCAATGAATTGAACTTTTGTACGTGAAACCCATTCAATAAAATCGATATCATTACAAGAACACGACAGCTTATTGTTGGACAGGTCAATATAAAAGTTATCAAAAGAAAAATTCATTTTAGCAGTATTGTCAAATTTTTGCATGACCTTTGCTCCAATTTTGTTTAAAATATTGTTACTTAGGTCTAAGTATTGTAGAGGTGAACTACCACTAAATTGAACATCAATTTGCGTCAAAAAATTATACGACAAGTCCAAGCCTCTAAGAGAGACTAGGCCTTGAAACAACTTCAGAGGAAGATACCGGAGTTTACAGTCAGCAAGTAACAAATACTGAAGAATTTTCAAATTTTTGAAAATGCGCCCCTCTGTGTCTTCACGCAAAAATCGCTCAATGAAATTTCGTGTTAAATTCAGTTCAATCAAACCCGTCATTTGATCGAAAACGTCCTGTGACATATTATCACAGGAATTCCAAGCCAGCTGAAGATTTAGCAAGTTGGAAAGCCCACCTATAGGACTCTGCCAGTTCCAGAATACATTTCTTTCTAAGTTGATTCTCATCAAGGAATTTGGTTCACAAATGCAAATATTTTTCAATTCGTTTCTAATTCTCAATCCGCTAAAATCAATGGCTCTTAATTCTTCCGGAAAGTACAAAATGATGTCATAGCTTATTCCCATCAAGTGACAGTTTCCGCAAAAGGGAAGTAATTTATTTCCGACTAGATTACTTTGTGTATAGTTTCGATTGTAATTTCCAATCTTACCGCTAGTATCATTTTCCGGTATTGACACAGCATTGAAAGTGTTAATTTTGAATTTAGATTTTAACATATACCTTGTTTTGTTGTTAAAAAACTTAAGTGCATCGTTATTCGTACTTTGCTCGGCCATTGTGAGATAGGCTAGGTTTCTAAACACAGATTTTTCAAAGATTTTGTGAATGTATTCACCAGCTAGCAGCATGTTGTTCGTCACAGACAGCTTGTGAATGCTACGAGGAATATATTGCACGGCATCTTCGCTCACGTATGCAAGGCGATTATTATCGAGATACACATTTTCAACTTCCATGTTCTTGAAATATAGGAGATGCTCCGCTTCTAATCGTGTGCAATCACCGAATGTCTCGTGGATTTTCACCAGTTTGATATCTCTCATTTGGTTGCCTTGTAAACCGTATGTTATGTTAGCTAAACTTTTAAACTGCAGGTTTTCATTATAGGACAGGTCAAGACTGGTCAAACTGTTCAGATCAGAGAAACCCTCTTTCTCAACGCTCTCTAAGCTACAATTGCATATTTTCAAATCAGTAACGCCTGTTAAGTTCTTGAACATATCGGCAACTATACTTTTTAAATTGCACCTACCAAACCCGCTACTCAGGTCAAGTGACCGTAAGTTTGTCATGAACGAAAAGGCTGTAGCAACATTGTCAGGCTTAATTCCATCGATCAATAGTTGCTTCAACTGCTTGAGTTGTGTCAATGCATTTGTCGGGTACCTTTCAGTTATGCTTATGTCATCTAATTTCTGGTGAAGATTCAGACGATATAGCTTCTTCAGCGGGTTGAACGCTAAACTTGATAAAGATTGCCCATCGTAACGAATTTGGTTCCCGCTTAGCTCAAGTGTATGGAGATTTTCGAGTCCTACAAAAATACTTGCACTCAATATCCGAATCCTATTGTCTGATAGGTCAAGATATTTCAGGTCGGCTAAATTATTAAAAACATCCGAATCGATCTTTTGTATTGAGTTTCCATTTAGTGTGAGAACAGTTGTGTTGCTTGGGAAGAAAGAGGGGACCTCCGCTAGACCACTTTGTGTGCAGTTTACCATAAGTCGGTATGCTCCATTTGTATATCTAGATTCATCTCGACATATGCAGGCATGCAACCAACTACATCGATCGATTCGTCTGTAGATACGTAACCCTGTATATTCAGATTCCAGTGAAGGAAACATATCATTAAGCACGAGAATATCGTGCATATTTCGTTCTAGGGCATCTCGGACGAGTGTACTATTTGATGATGATGTTGCAGCAGCAAGACTGATTTGTATCAAAGCTACTATTACATTGAACACCATCTTCTGTAAATATACAGACATATTTAGAAAGTTACTTTTTATTTAAGTTAATAGAAATATACCAGCAGACATTTTCACAAAAAATCTTAAGAAAATCTTAAGTGCAAAATCTGTCGTAACTTTACGATAGGTCTTCCCCGTTCGTAAGTGTATTTTTTTCTCTCTTATGGGTAAAATATCATGTATCTCTTACCTAAACTGAATAAAAACAAACAAAAAGTTGGAGGACAACTAAATATTAAGCAAACAGTATGCTATAAATAACACAAATTGAGGTATAATTATTTTTCAACATATACATTTGTGACGTCATGACTTGATGACGTCACGATGGAGAGGGTTATGAATAGTTTAAAATAATGTGAACTATACTGTAGACTAGTATTATTGAAAACTTATAATTTGTACAATTGGTGAGTTCGATTTCATTGCCAGCATGTACTAGTGGTACCTTTTTATTTATTAATAACATAGTAGACCTTCTTTCTGAACATTTTAGATATATATAATTATCTTCAATCAAGATATAAATTATATCAGTTTAAATCATTTTTTTGTTCTAATTGAAATTTGATTGTGTTCAATAGATACTCCAAGCTCTTGATTACTTGATTTTAAAACCGGAATCAAATATAGAGCATGCACATCACTATCAAATGAACGTTGCTAGGGATGTTTTGTCGTAAGATTTATCGTAAGTGAATTTTTTATCTTAAGATAAAATTTTAACTTACGAGTGGCTTTGTGAAAATGACTTAAGATTTAACTTACGATTATCGTAAGTGAAAAACTTAAGATAAATCGTAAGATTTTTTGTGAAAATGTCTGCAGAAAGGTAAAAAAATCCTAGCAAATAGAGGATATTCAAGTTTTTTCTATAAATACATGATTTATTTTCATCGAGTGGTATGAAAATAAATATTTCATGAGTGGCGGTAGCCACGAGTGAAATATGGTAATTTTCATGCCACAAGATGAAAATAAATCATGTATTTATAGAAAAAACTTGAATTTTCTGTTTATAATATACATTTTTATCTTTTTTGACATTAAAATTTGAAAGACTTTCCCTTAAATTTTGTGTACTGGCAGAATTTAAAAGAAAGTAGTCCGGCAAGACACCAGTGAAAATACGGAAAATATGTTTCACTGCAGTGAAAAATAAATTTTTACAGTGAAAATACGGAAAATGAAAATACGCATTTTATTTCATCCATATTTCTCAATATTTCATTTATAAGTATATAATAAAGTAATTTATTGGGCTTGATTTTTATGTCTCTTAAAGTTAAAAAATGCATATTTTTATATTATCAGTTATTCTATTACAGTAACTTGAATGGTATGGACTGCGAAATTTTCAAGTGATTGCTATTTTAATTTTGTAAATAGTGTTTGAGTATTCCTTTTTTAAGAGGGATAATGTCGTCATAAAATAAAATTATGTTATAACAAATTATAAAAATCGTATATATTTAATTTTGTTAACAATGGACTTTTCTTCATTTATCCATAATGTAAACAATATTCGATTAAATCACATGCTAACAAATGTCTTTTTTGAACATCAAGTTATATATACTTAACGTATACCGAGCAGTGGACCATTAATCTGCTGGGATAATGATATATAACTTAAGTGCGACATATACATATGGAGGGCTAAATGTAATTCTGAAAAGACAACGAACGTAAAATCATCTTATCACATGTAATTATAAAATAAGAAAAACTCAAAAATAGAAGAAACAATCGCCATGTGACGAGTCATTTTTATTTTAAACTTGTGTGATATCACGAGGATGGCATGTGCGAGTGTGTCAGTTAAATCAGGCAAAGTCACTTGAGGTATAATTAATAAATTAAACGAGACTTACCTGGAAGTTGAAGTTCAATTATTATTCTACTGCTACTGGACCACAGGGTTTAATGAGATGAACATATGATCTTATCAGATGACCAAGCAGACTTTCAGAGCATACATAATTATGCAAAATGCGACAATGGCTTATACATATGGGAGGGGTAATTGGGTGGGCATTAAACCCTGTGGTCCAGTAGCAGTAGAATAATAATTGAACTTCAACTTCCAGGTAAGTCTCGTTTAATTTATTAATTCTACTGCACTGGACCACCTAGGGTTAATGAGATTTTAGAGACCATGCTCGCATTTTGATAAGTCGTTAAAACTTCATAACCAAGTACAATGATTACGCATTCAATCTACGACTATTAACTTTTCAAAACTGAAAATGTAATGTACAAAATAAAGTATGCAATTGCCATATACATAAAATGCTGTAAAAGTAACAATCATTATAAAAGAATACTATTCCCTATTTCTACTGTGCGGAAATTAAAGGTCATTATAGGCTTGACCCCTGCTGCAATGTTACATTGCAAAATTGATACATTGTATCGTATATTGTAAACAGAAAATTGCAAACAAGTTTGACACACATATACGTGTAGCACAAAATTCTTTCACATGTAGTGATATTCGAAGTTTTCTATGGTTTTAAAGCAACACATTTATGTTTTTAATTATAATTTCTTTAGGCTCGATTTCTGATATCTTGCAAAATCAGTGTTTTGAAATTACTGATCTGCGGTTAAAGGGCCATTAAGCCTAAACCTGCCATTATTCGTTTATATTATTTACATTTTTTTTTCCATGCATGTTTTCTTCAATAAACACATGTATATTATTTTCCAAATCAGCTCTGTATTGCAGTTACAGTACATGTTTCTATGGTTCACGTTTTCGATTCCACTCGATACAGGATAGGATATAATGAAACATACAAATGCATTTGTTCATTTTTCCTGAATTATTAATATTATTATCATTTTTGTTTGGAATCAATCAATCAATTAATTAGTTAATTAAGTCATCAACTGATTTATTTCAAAAACGATAATGAAAACTACCAAAACAAATGGCTGAATCTCTTATCACCACTTACTTATTCAGTTGTTTGAAAACAAAACCCCAAACAAGTAATATTCTATGATCATGCCATTTGGTAGAATAATCTGCTTAGTGTTTTCCTTTCCCCCGGGCAATGACGAGTAAGGTACCACATCTACATATAATGATATATTATTAATTTACCTGCCATTTCTTTTTCAAATTTTATAACATTTCTAGTTGACTAATTAACATGCAGTCTACAAATATAAATGCGTTCATCAACCGTAGAAATGTTTCATAGACTAAACTGCAGTTTTCTTGATATAATTAATATTTTTATTGAAACTAGTTGTTTCAATTATTTAAATCAAAATTTGAATGACACTTTGACAGCCGTAGCACAATCAGGATTTTGTTTGCCTATTGTTGTGATAGGTCCGACACAAATCCCTCTCTGAGTGATTTATAGCGCCATGGATCATAACACGGTGAAGGTTAATTAGCAACCCCTCCTTGCAAACAAACAAATCAAATTAAGACATATGTTTGACCTACAAACCAGGTACAGCTATTAATACCTGCTGTTTTCCCAGGAATAAGTCCGATGATAAACCCTAACAAAAACAATTCACTTAGAGGGTCCAGTGAGAGATTTATCTGAAGATGTAGTACATGTATACAATAAATCCCAAATTATCAACCTTATCTTAACCATCTAAAATACTGCACATTACAACTTTGTATAAACTATCATTATTGTAATGAATGGTAAAACATTGGTTTCATAGGTTTGTCCAACAATGAAAGACAAGGCAAATGCAAATGATTTTTTTTTTTCCATCTTAATAGTTTATTTTATTATATTCATTAATTCATTTTATTTCTTTTCTATGTTTTACTGTAGTTAGCTTGAGCAAAAATTTCAATGCATACAAAGTATATCAAACATGTATTCAATTATGCATTTAGCTATGTCTATATACACCTTTCAGTCGAAGAAAATTGTGGATAGAAAAATATTTTAGTGATTAAATGTTTATTTTCTTCACTAAAACTTTTCATATCTTATTTCATGTTCTTCCATTTCGAATGATATGTCATTTTCTTAAAAATAAAAGCAAGTTCTTTACAATCGACATTGTCAGTGTACTTTACTTGAGATATACAGGTAAAGAGTTATTCAATATAAATTTCATTATTGAACCATCTCGAGCAAGTACCAATATTGAAAGTTATCAACTTACAATGTTCAGGGTATTTCGAAGTGTTTCTAGAGTATTGTAAAAACAATGCATACTCACATTCTGTTAGCTTTCTTGTATATGTACTCATGGTTGCCCCTGAGATTCTTACCTCACACTATATACAACCAATGTTATTTAATATGTGTTTACTTTCCGTAAGGAAAGTAACAATTCCTTCATAAGATCAGCTCCAAATGGTGCGTTTTCCCAAGAGCAAATTTGGACTCACAGTTTTTGACACTTCTATGCAAAACACTTTCTCCAGCATATTTGATCTTCGTATATAAAAAATTTGGGAGTATTCCGGTTTTGACAAGATATGCAAAATTTGCTTCAACATATTCCTTCTCGTATGACAAATTTGGAGTACTCGCGGGTTTTGACATTTCTATGCAAAACATGCTCCAACATATTCCATCTTATATAACAAATTTGGAGAAACTCAGGTTTGGATATTTATTGCAAAACTAGCTCCAGCATATTCGCTTTTATATAGATAACTAATTTGTAGTACACGGTTTTGTCATTTTATGCAAAACTAGCTCCAGCATATTCCCTCTTATATAACAAATTTGGAGTACACAGTTCTTGACATTTTTATGCAAAACTAGGTTCAGCATATACCTTCTTATATACCAAATTTGAAGTACACTGTTCTTGATATTACTATGCAAAACTAACTCCAGCATATTCCATCTTATATAACAAATTTGGAGTACACAGTTCTTGGCATTTTTATGCAAAACTAGCTCCAGCATATTCCATCTTATATAACAAATTTGGAGTACACTGTTCTTGACATTACTATGCAAAACTAGCTCCAGCATATTCCATCTTATATAACAAATTTGGAGTACACAGTTCTTAACATTTCTATGCAAAACTAGCTCCAGCATATTCCCTCTTATATAACAAATTTGGAATACCCAGTTCTTGACATTTCTATGCAAAATAAGCTCCAGCATATTCCATTTTATATAAAAAATTTGGAGTACACAGTTCTTTCAATTTCTATGCAAAACTAGCTCCAGCATATTCCATCTTATATAACAAATTTGGAGTAGACAGTTCTTGACATTTCTATGCAAAACTAGCTCCAGCATATTCCCTCTTATATAACAAATTTGGAGTACACAGTTCTTGACATTTCCATGCAAAACTATCTCCAGCATATTCCCTCTTATATAACAGATTTGGAGTACACAGTTCTTGACATTTCTATGCAAAACTAGCTCCAGCATATTCCATCATATATAACAAATGTGGAGTACAAAGTTCTTGACATTTCTATGCAAAACTTACTCCAGCATATTCCCTGTTATGTAACAAATTTGGAGTATACAGTTCTTGACATTTCTAGGCAAAACTTACTCCAGAATATTCCTCTAATATAAAACAATTTTTGTGCAAAAAAAATCTCTACAATACGCCCAAAACAGCATAAATGAAAATGTTGCAGGCTTGGTTTGAATGAGCCTGTTCAAGGATGATACTGTAAAATGTAACTTACTGTTTTTCCGCCCAAAGCATGTTAAACATATACTATACTCATCACAGAGTAAAATATTTTTATCCCAGAAATTATTTGAAATCTATGTATTTCTTTCTAAATATGTCTTATTTGAATAAAAGAATGTACAAACTGTGTTTGGGAAGCTGCATATAAGTAAAGTTTTTTTTTTTTTTTTTTTTTTTTTTTTTTTTTTTTTTTTGACACTATGCATTCTTATTGTGCCTCTAAATTGTGTAGAGTTTAAGACATAAGATATCTTCTTAGTGTGTAGTCAAAACATGTTTATTTTATATTAAAAAAGAGACTGTATAGCAATCATCAATATTTAAAAATACAATGAATTTGAGCATATTATATCTTTAATTCAAATAATTTTTATTTTAACTTATTATACAGTTACCCAACTAAACATAGAATTATATTTTGTGAGCAAGAGCTGATATTTTCTTATATCAAGTAAGATTTAAAACAGTAAGATACTGCAGATCTTTTTAACCAATAGAATAAGAGTCTTATAAATTATAAGCTGTGATATGTGCATTTCGTTGGCCTAATTTTAAGACACATGACTTTGGTATGTTCGTGGCTCAAGAAATTAAATTGTTAAATAATATAATATTAATTTGATAACTTCAAGTTAAAGCAATATTGTCTTTGTTGTTGTAGTAGTAGTTGTAGCATAAAAACAGGTCAATCATCTGGCCAAGGCTTCATACTGTTGTCCATCATTCCATGATGACGAAACAGATTTTCCTAATCTGTTGCAGAGTTAATATTGGACCTACTGTCCGCAAACTCTAGACATTCCAAATTTTGTTGCAGAGTTATGTTGGACCTACTGTCCGCAAACTCTGGGGTCGTTGCAGTACGCCTCAGTACCTATTGTACTGGTTATATAGCGACTGTTGGGCTTCTTGAAAAGTGGAGTTCCCTACTGGAACTGAACACTTTACCCATTCTTGTAGCAATCCATGTGGAAAATATAAATGGATAATCAAATCAAAAACAGAAGTCAATTGTTATATCCAGAATATTGTCACTTTAAATTAAATTATGAACAAATAAATCCGGTATTTAATCCATTTTACAAAAGTTATTAAGTAATTGTATTAATCCATTTAACAAGAATAATTGAATAAATCTTAATTCTAGTAATAACACATAAACACATAAATTAAGAGAAATTTACTGCGGCCACTCTGATAGGATACTTTTAGCGTTCTGCTTGGTCATCTGATAAGATCATATGTTCATCTCATTAACCCTAGGTGGTCCAGTGCAGTAGAATTAAACAAATATGGCATGACCGTACAAGCGCATTATATCTGCATGATTTTTTTTCAATTGAAAACATTTGATGAAATGGAAAAAAAGAGAAGATGAAACGCACAGACCTTATGTCGATGTAGAAAAGAAAACAACGTCCAAACCTCACAGCCTGTAGAAACTGAATAAGTTTATTTATCAAAACTTTAATAAAATTAATGTTTTTATCATCAAATAATCAGGTTTATCGCACAATTTTATCAAATTAAGCAAATTCTTAATTTCCCCCATCATTCGTGATGTTCGGACCGACGATTGAAAGAAAAAATGAGACTTCATTTTAACATATTGCTGCGTTACTTTGGCAACGGTCTTTGCTATGAGGAATTTTGTGAGTTGGCATATTTAGCTAGTGGTCAATTTACTGACTTTGTTTATCATTTATGATTTAATCAACAATATCATCTTTTAATATTTGCATACAAATACAACCCTCTTTATTAAAACAGGATGACTATAACGTAATCTACGAGCCATAATCTACGATATTTACACTCAACTTTTTTGATTTTATGAAATATTTTCCGTATATCCTATATCTATTTCAAGTTTTGTTGTTGTTGTTTATTTATGGTCTTTAACAGAAACCAAAATTCGTCTGCTTCCTTCACGCCGCGTCCGTGAATGAATTTTTATTTTTTGTTATTTGCCTAAATGCACGAGATGTCTGTTAGATTTCAAATGAATGTCCTGTAGACTACTTTTGTCAGGAATGTGCATAAAATGCTGCTATTGATCAAAAGAATTAAGTAGTGAGTGTTCCATGAACATGTTAGTTGTTTTGGGGATCTGAAATGGCCCCACTATTCTTTGAATAGGCAAACATTATGAGGATGTTAACGTTGTGTTGGCAATTTCATGAACAAATATATACCAGTAATCTGCGTGAATACTTTTTGTAATTTCAGAGCTTTAGAAAACAATAGAGAGGTTAAGCTTATGTTGTCAACAAAGGCCAAATCCTTTATTTAATCTGTTTGAAAATTTTTTGGATATAGGTACAGTCTTTTACTATAAAGATTAAATTCTCCTTCCTTAAAGCGGACTTCAGCTTTTCTACAGGTTAAGTATGCTTTTTTAAGAGAAATCGATTCATATAATTATTGTTTTATCAATAGAATTAGGGTGAAAAATGAACTTTGCCGAGATAAAATACTTTACAATAAGGAAATCCCTCGATACCTCAAATCTTCCGGTCCGCTGTCTAGTATATTGAAATTAGTAAAGCGGACGATTCGTTTCCTTTAGAAACGAACTTCACTGACGCGTTACAAGTAGCTCTTGAGACCCAGCTTAGAAGGCTTAAATTACCTTGATACATGCATGATGCACTTTCCCAGGATAAAATTACGGAAACTAAATGTTTGAAACAACACATAATTGTTTGTTTTGTTTTTTTTTTTTCAACAAAAAAAACCCGATTTACTGAAAAGAGGCGACAACTGAAATTTGAACAGTAGTATTCTCAAACCATGATTGATACCCTTTGAATCTGGATTTACATGGATCAATATATTTGATAAAAATCAATAATGATTGATTCTAATTTAAACACAATTGCATCTACCAGTACCAAACATATACCTGTTATAATATCTTTTTAGACTTGTTCAATCTTCTAAACCAGGAAGTTTAATTCAAACACAATTCAATCCTTAACTGAAATAATTTATGGAAGTATGTGATTTTAGAAATATGCAGAAAAATAATCTAAAACCTGGATATAAACTTTGGCATTTGAATCGGTATTATTATTTCATCTGTTATCAATAAATACATTCAATTTTTACCTTTTATTTCTTTACTTTATATATGTTTTTTTATTGTTTTATTTTTATTTCTCGAATCGGTATCATTTTAGTTTGATATTCATTAATGATTTCATTTATATTTTTAAATTTTAAATCAACATTTCAGATATCACTTTTCATATATCTATATACATACGTATTTATCATACTATATGTGAAAAAACTGTTACGCTATATATTTCATCGTCGGATCAGTTAACTATTAAACGCTTTGTCAAGACCGGTTATAAACAAAAATAATTTAATTATGATTGAGCACAATATCACATGTTTTGTACAAAAAAATGAAGATCTAAATGCATTTAAATCTAGTTGATATAACTTATTGTTAAAACCATTAAATAAATTAAAATAAACTTTAGAAGTTCGGTACAAATAGCAATGATTAATAACGTAGAAGTTACTTTAAAATCGCAAAACATAGCACGCCTTTGCAGGTAAAGAATTTAACATGTAGACCTACGTATACATTCAAATTTTCAATTTGGTTCCGTTTCGGAATTCCTATTTGCCTGGACTTCGTGGAGAGAGTACATTGAATGCAGCCGTACCTTGTTGATCTTTTTAATGAAATTTTAAGATGTATATTTATTGTATTTATCAAATTGTTTGTCCATAAATAATATGAATGAACAGACAAGTTGATGCGAAACGCGATATTATCTTACTTGGCTTAGTTACGCATTTTGTGTTCCTAAAAATAATCTATCTGTTTGCAGTATAGACTTAGTGAGATAAAGAGGTTAGAAAAACACATTTAATCTCCCAGCACTCTATATAAAAAAGATCAATGATGTGGTCGATCAGTGGACACATGCTGCTTTTGTTTATCTTCAAGTCAGTTCAAACTACAACGCCTACCCGAACACCATTGAATCTAGACGTACAGACCTCGTTTAACATTACAGATTACCAGTTATTCCCTACACTCTACGATACAATAATTTCCATGACAGAAAGTCCAAATTTACCAGCATACCGTTGCTATTGGTTACCCACGTGTATTTGTCGGGACGAATCCGACTATACGAATGGGACATATAAACTTATGGTCAACTGTACACAAAGTGGACTTTATAATATTCCAGTAGGTATACCTAACTCGACAACTGTTCTTACACTGGATGGAAACTATATAAAGGATATCAAACATGGAGCTTTCAAGAATTTGGTCAATTTGAAATACCTTGATTTGTCGAATAACTTAATTGAAGTGCTAGATGAGAACGTATTTGAAGGTCTTGAAAATCTTCGGACACTTGAATTGGGACAAAACAAAATTCGCTACAATAATTATTCTTTACCTCGTTTAATTTTCAATCCCCTGAAGAAGCTTGAAAGATTAAATCTACACCAAAGACTAGACAATATAGATATAAATGAATTTTATCCAACAGAGACATTGAAACAATTGAAAACTTTGAAACAACTTTTGATTGACGGTATTGAATCTCATATTAATCACATGCATTTTCTAACATGCCAAATTTAAAGACACTTGACTTGAGTAGCGAATACGGAAGGTGTAATCTTACAAAAATTGTTGTTAATATGTTTAAAGATTTAGACAGTGTTTATGACCTTAAAATCAGTAACTGTAGCCTTGACTGTGTTGAAAAAGGCAGTTTTGCTGAGCTAAGAAATCTAACGAAGTTGGACTTATCTTTCAACGAGGGACTTGAATTCAAAAATGTAGCTAATATAACATATGGCTTACAAGGAAAACATATGAGGGAAATAAAACTGGTAAAAATCCATAAAACGTTCGGTGATTGTACACGATTAGAAAAGGACCATCTTGTGTATATGAAAAATGTAACAATACGAGACCTTTACCTTGATAATAATCGACTTGCATATGTAAATGAGGATGCAGTAGAATTTATACCGAGGAGTTTACGCAAACTTTCCGTTACAAACAATATGCTGCTAGCTGGAGAATATATTCATAAAATGTTTGAGGAATCAGTATTGATAAACTTGAAATTTCTAATTTTGACTGACCAGAGCATAAACTATGACGCAGTGAAATTTTTTAATAACAAAACGAGATATATGCTGAGAACAAACTCCCTGAAAAACTCCCAAAAAGTTCCAAACCAGAAAACGAAATTTGAACAAGAAAACGGTCATAAGAGTGAAAAAGAAAGAAAAGTTGATGACGTGCTACCACATTGCAGCAATTGTCATTCGCAAGGGGTCAATTTTGAGACTATATTATATGTTCCTCCTGGATTAAAAGACCTTGATCTCAGTGGATTACAAATCAGAAACGAACTCAGAAATATATGTTTTTGTGAACCGAACTTACTTTTGAGAATGAATTTAGAACGAAATACATTTTGGAGCTGGAAGGGACCGATTGCGGGATTGTCTAAGTTAATTAATCTCAACCTTGCATGGAACTCCTGTGATGACTTATCAGAAGATGCTTTTGACCAATTTGAAAGTTTAATACTTCTGGATTTATCGCGAAATTTCATTGAAGAGTTTTTAAGAAAAGACACAGAAGGAAGAATTTTTAAGCACTTGAAAAAAACTCTATTATCTGTATTTTAGTTGACAACAAATTAAGATATT